CTATCTGTTATGTTATATTCTTTTTACCTTCAAAGTCACAGTGAATTGTTTCCTCTGAAGCTAGGCCATTTGCAGACATGCCAGCCACAAGGAATTCTGGGATATGTAGTTCTGAACCTCACCTCTATTGTGTAGGGAGTCATGCTAGAGGGGACTGGAGCTATGATGATTGAGTCCATCAGCAATGTCTGCCATACAGAACAGGAATCTTCTTTTGAGGAAAAGATTAACAGGGTTGCTTTCCCATGGCATTTTAGAAGTCACAGCTTCTCTGAATATGGATGCTGCCCTTTCTTTTCTTATGGTTGGAGTTGGGAGCTTGAACAGCTCTACTCTCTTATATTTCACCCATAGGTGTCTCCATGGGTTTGAGTATGTGCGGCTTGGAAACTGTTGGATTTATTGTTTCTGGGGCTATCAAAGTAAAATAGAATTTCTTTGTTTACATATTTACTTAATGAACATGTCTATAGTATTTAATAAATGCCAGACATTATTCCAAATGTTTTCCATATTTAATTTATTTAATTCTTATAATTGAACCACGATGGATCATCTGTTGTAATAGTACTTTTTTTTTTCCTTGTCTCTAAAATGAGTGAGTGATGTATTAGAAAGTAGGCCTTGATTCGTGCAGGTAATAGGCAGAACCGATCATCTACCACAAATATTCTGTGAGTTTATTATGTTTGCTGCCTGTGTTTATAATGGCATTCAAGGGCAGGTACCAGATTCTCTACCTTTTGTATCTCTTTTTCCCCTTTCTCAATAGTCAGTGCTTATGCCAGGTTCTTAACAGTGATTTGAACCATGTATAATAGTGTGTAGTCAGTTAATCTTTTCAACACACTTTCCTCAAGTGTCTAGTTTGTTTATTTACTGGGGGAGACAATGCTAAGTGTCAAAAGAGAAGCTTGTAGTCTAGTGGCCTGCAACCACAGTGCAATGTGGGAGACTGTCTGGATGAAGGTCCTGGTGAGGGACACTGAATCCAGAGTGGCAACAGGTGGCTTAGGAGAAGGCTTCTGCCTAAGCTAAGACCTGTATGGTAAGCTGTCATTAATAAGATGTTTGAGTGATAAGTTTCCCCAAACAGAGGGAGAAGGCCCAACCATGTGGACATGACACTTTTGGGTAATGGTTAGTATGTTGTAATGTGGGATGAGGGGGACAGGGCAGGTAGGATGGTAGTGGGGTAGATGGTCTAGGTTACGAAGAACTGCCAGGAGTCTCATTGAAAAGGCTTCTCTGGAATGCTTAGGAGAAGCATGAAGAATATCTAGAGGGAGGAGTGACAAGATGAGGTAGGGTCTTCAGCATATTATTGTGGTGGTATGCAGAGGGGACAGAATGCACGGAGTAAACCTCAACTGGTAGAGAATAGATCCCAGGACTGCAGTAGGTCCTGCACAGAACAAAGGCAGGGATGAGATTCACAGTGACTCCCAGTGTTTCCTGGATAACAATGACTAATTGATGTGCTGATGCTGAGACTCTTCCATGGCTTCTCTAGAAGCTGCTTCATTTGTAGCTGTGGACTTCTGGACCAATGGGAAGTTATGCCATCCATACGTGTAATAAAAGAACACTCCTGATCATACTCACTGCAGATGGGAAATGATTCATGGACTGAGTGACAATTTGGTGTGACTGATATGGCTGAGGGCAAATTTCTCTTCTTTTTTTTTTTTTGGTGACATCTTGCTCAGTGCTTTGAGATTATGCTTGGCGCTTGGCAATTTAACAATATTTTAGTCTATTGACCTGGACTTTTTAGCCACATTTGTCGTCTGCAGCTAGAAGACAGGCTTCGGGCCTGTGGCTTGCTTCAGGATTGTATGGGGGAATGCAAGACAAAGCACAGAAATCAGGTCCTAGCTTTCCCCCTATGATGACAGTGTATACCCCACCAAGAGACCAGGATGCTGGCGTTAGGATCTGGCCAAGCTTAAGGGTAATGAAAATTCATGCAGGAAAGAGGAAGGATTTTTATCAGCAGTGAGTTGATAGTCTAAGTCCTCATTTACTAGGAACGTTTTCTTTTAACCTTTTTCCCTGGTCATGTGGGATGGAAGATGGGAGATCACCCCTTCTCTGCTAAAAGGTAGACACTCAGCCAGATCAGCCCATGGGAGCGTGGGTGACCAGTGCTCTTCAGGGCTTCTGTCCTAGAAAATAACTGTTTCTTCCACCCTCTGAGAGGAATCTTAGACACTGTGTTAGTTCAGCTCTTCATGGTACCAACAAGGAGATTCAGGCCCACATAGTAAGTGGCTTGTTCATGTTCAAACCAGGGCAGAAATACGAGGAGGTCTTGGGCTGCCTGACTTCTCTGTTCCTTCCACACCCCTGACCACTTTAAAGGCCTACTGAATGTCGGGCATCTGTGATGTAGATTTAAGTATTGAATTGTACTGTTTATTGAGTACTTTTTTGTATAGATTACTGGGCTGGCTTTGGGTTTAGGGGGTGTTAATGAGGCACCCTCTGGGTGGTAGATCTTTGGTCATACATATATATATATATATATATATATATATATATAAATACATATATATGTTTTTCTCTTTTGGGGGGTTCTCAAAAATATTTATTAGGGATGCCAGGAAAGTCATTTTTCTTTTAAATTAATATTTTCTGAAAGAATTAGGGAAAGACTATATAATTTTTGTTGATGGGATTTTATCAGCACACAATTTTCAGTAGTCCTGGCTTTCTAATGGAACAAAGTTTTTTTTTTGGTTGTTGTTACTTATATCATTTCACCCCCTAAAAACTTAAACTTGGAAAAGTTTTGAGGTATAGTTAAGACTGGGGTCATGAATACTAAATGAAATTTCTTAGTGTTCAAAAACATTATGTGTGTGTGTGTGTGTGTGTATGTATATATATGTATATATGAAGTTATTTCTATTTTTTGGTACTGGGGATTGAACTGAGGGGCACACTCAACCACTGAGCCACATCCCTGGCCTTATTTTGTATTTTATTTAGAGACAGAGTCTTACTGAGTTATTTAGTGCCTCACCATTGTTGAGGCTGGTTTTGAACTTGCAATCCTCCTGCCTCATTCTCCCGAGCAGCTGGGATTACAGTCATGTGCCACTTATAAAGCTAAAATGTCAGAGTCTTTTTTGAATGGTATAATAAAAACACTTAATTTTGGTTTTTGGTGTCTTTTGGCCTTTATCCCTGTTATGAGAGTGGTATTTACCAGCATGGCCTTATCACATGAACTTTAAATTTGCTTACCTTTAACTAATTTGGAAATTTAGAGATGGGGCAGTAGTTCTGGATCAGGAATGGAGAGCCAGGTTAATGGTTTGAGTTTTCTGCTCTGCTGCCTGGCTATGTGGTGCTGTCTCTAAATAGAAGAAATTCTACTAGCTCCATGATTTTCAGCAGGGGACAAGGATTCTCTGAGCAGGTTGTGTGTGTATTAGCACCTTGGGGGTGTGGGGAGCATGCATTATTAGAGAATACACAGAATCATATTTCTTTATTTGTAAAAATAGGAAAAACTATTTTTTTAAACAAGAGGCAAAAAGTAAATATGGTATAGTCTTGGCTGGTGGTTAAAATGGATGGGGCAGGGGCTGGGGATGTGGCTCAGTGGTAGTGCACTTACCTGGCATGTGTGAGGCACTGGGTTCGATCCTCAGCACTACGTATAAACAAATAAATAAAGAAATCTATTAACAATGAAAAAAAATGGATGGGGCACTCATGGGACTATAAGGGAATAGCAGGTAACATTTCTTTTTGAATATGTTCTTATTTAAATCTCATAAATACCAATAAATGCTATTGTCATGTGAAGAAACAGAACAGAAAGGTTATGTCTCAAGGTCATCACAACAAATGTGAGGGTAGATTTGGGGTCCTAGGCTAAGTCTTTGAGGTTTGTTCCCTTAGCATTCATATTCTGATATGAATCAAGATAGGTTTTTCTAGAAAATAGAACTTTTATAACATATATAACTGGTATACAATTACTTCTTTATTTTCAGGTGCAAAACAGTTTTTACTGCTAAATCCAATTAAGTGGGGCTCCAAGATCCATTTACAGAGATCCATAAAAAAAGCGTTTAATATCAGTAGTCATTGGAACATTCCTTCCCCACCCACACAATTTGGCTAGAAGATTCTGACTCCATCATGATGGTGCTGCTCAGTGGCCAAGCCTGCTCTGCCCTTAGAGGGTGGCCCATAGCTGTGTTTGTTTTCTCCATGCTCAACTTGGCCACCATGATTTCCCCTGGGGCTCCTGAGGCTATGGCTTTTAGATGCTGGCTCCCAAGTGTCCTCATGTCTGTTGCTGTCGGGAGTTTCCATCTACCCCTGCCAGGGTGCATCATAGAGATATGGGACCTGGTACAGATGCAGACACAGAGCCCTCCATTGATGCAGAACTTCTCCAGGGGAAGGGAAGTGGATCTCTCATTCTTTCTTTCAGTTTATATAAAATTGGCTAATTTCTCTATTCAGTTACCCTGCTGCCTGTAAATGACAGCAAGATTTAACATGACTGACTGTAAGTGATTTTATTAGTGTCCAATTTACATTCTGTTGTTAAAGGAGGCGTCTTGGTGTCTAAACAGAGACAGCCTCAATTCATTACTTGTACTATCTTTGTGACCTTCAGTAAATGAATTGATGTCCTTAAGCCTGATTCATTTTTTACAAATTGGGGATGGTAATAGCTTCTATCCCATAGAGGGTCCCAAGGGGCCAACTTTAGCAAAAGATACTGAATTATAGAGAAAATGTGAGGTTTATTTGGAGATTGGCCCCAAGACCAGCCAGTCTGGAGGGAACAGTTTTGGATGGGTGGAGGGTCATTGTGTGGGGAATGGTTAAAAGTAGATAAATGCTATTTTACAGATTTAGGCTCAAATTGATCTTCTTGGAAGTTGTGTTATTCACTGAAACTTACGTTCTGACTCAGACATGTGCTAAAATCTCTCTGATAGTATCAACTCCTCTTTCAACCTATTTAGGACCCAACCGACTTTGAGTGGAGCTTCTGGATGGAATGGGGGAAGCAGAGACTGGTGTGGCTCTTCCTTGGCCATATGGTAGTGTCTCAAATGGCCACACTGCTTGTAAGGAAGGTATGTGCGTCATTTCCTTTTAAGCCTCTTTCTGCTTAGCTTTTTGTGGAGTTCTGAGCTCAGAATCAAGAGACACAGGTATTGACCTTTAAGATAAAGGTGTCTTATGTTCTCATCCTGCATTTATTTCCTCCAAGTTATTTTTTTAAGGCATTGAACAAGAGGGTGAAACCAACTTCAGGTAGTGTTCTCTAAGATCATTGCTGATCAAATGATCTTGTAAAGAGCCACCTGATGGGGAGAATCTACGTGGTTTCAGTTACAAGTTTAAAAGCAAGTGAATGATTTGATTAAGATGTGAGCATAATTTTAGTGTCAAGTAAGGTGTGCTACTGTGGCTGTTTTAGATCAGAATTCCAGTAGTATTTTGTTCTCACCCTGGCCTGAATTACAGAATCAGGGATTCTTTAAAGTGGGTATTTGAGAAATGTTTACATAAGCATAACAGGGACTATTAGAGAAGGGGAATAGGGCAGGGGGCAGTGAACTTCAGAATTTCTAGAAATTTAAGGCAAGAGAGGGTGGAGGGAAGGAGGATGGTCATGGTCAAGGCACCATATAGAAATGTCACAGTAAAGCCCATAAATGTGTACAAATAATATGTGTTAATAATAATGAAGTGCTTTCAAAGGAGGCAGAATTGTGACCCTCTTCTTAGGCCTGAGGTACTAGAGGATTGCTCTATCATACCAGGAGTCTGGCTTTTGCCCAGGATCCTCTGAGACTTGCTTTTTGCCTAATCTCAATTTTTTTTTCAGTTGGAATACCATTGTACCTTTCTTTTTTTTTTTAATTTTTTATTGTTGGTTGTTCAAAACATTACATAGTTCTTGATATATCATATTTCACACTTTGATTCAAGTGGGTTATGAACTCCCATTTTTACCCCATATACAGATTGCAGAATCACATCAGTTACACATCCATTGATTTACATATTGCCATACTAGTGTCTGTTGTGTTCTGCTGCCTTTCCTATCCTCTACTATCTCCCCTCCCCCCCCTTCCCCTCCCCTCTCCTCCCCTCCCCTCTTCTGTCTCTACCCCCTCTACTGTCATTCATTTCTCCCCCTTGTATTATTTTTCCCTTTCCCCTCACTTCCTCTTGTATGTACTTTTGTATAACCCTGAGGGTCTCCTTCCATTTCCATGCAATTTCCCTTCTCTCTCCCTTTCCCTCCCACCTCTCATCCCTGTTTAATGTTAATCTTCTTCTCATGCTCTTCGTCCCTACTCTGTTCTTAGTTACTCTCCTTATATCAAAGAAGACATTTGGCATTTGTTTTTTAGGGATTGGCTAGCTTCACTTAGCATAATCTGCTCTAATGCCATCCATTTCCCTGCAAATTCTATGATTTTGTCATTTTTTAATGCAGAGTAATACTCCATTGTGTATAAATGCCACATTTTTTTATCCATTCATCTATTGAAGGGCATCTAGGTTGGTTCCACAGTCTTGCTATTGTGAATTGTGCTGCTGTGAACATCGATGTAGCAGTGTCCCTGTAGCATGCTCTTTTTAGGTCTTTAGGAAATAGACTGAGAAGGGGAATAGCTGGGTCAAATGGTGGCTCCATTCCCAGCTTTCCAAGAAATCTCCATACTGCTTTCCAAATTGGCTGCACCAATTTGCAGTCCCACCAGCAATGTCCAAGTGTACCCTTTTCCCCACATCCTCGCCAGCACTTGTTGTTGTTTGACTTCATAATGGCTGCCAATCTTACTGGAGTGAGATGGTATCTTAGGGTGGTTTTGATTTGCATTTCTCTGACAGCTAGAGATGGTGAGCATTTTTTCATGTACTTGTTGATTGATTGTATGTCCTCCTCTGAGAAGTGTCTGTTCAGGTCCTTGGCCCATTTGTTGATTGGGTTGTTTGTTCTCTTATTGTCTAATTTTTTGAGTTCTTTGTATACTCTGGATATTAGGGCTCTATCTGAAGTGTGAGGAGTAAAGATTTGTTCCCAGGATGTAGGCTCCCTATTTACCTCTCTTATTGTTTCTTTTGCTGAGAAAAAACTTTTTAGTTTGAGTAAGTCCCATTTGTTGATTCTAGTTATTAACTTTTGTGCTATGGGTGTCCTATTGAGGAATTTGGAGCCCGACCCCACCGACTGTAGATCGTAGCCAACTTTTTCTTCTATCAGACGGCGTGTCTGTGACTTGATATCAAGCTCCTTGATCCATTTTGAATTAACTTTTGTGCATGGCGAGAGAAAGGGATTCAGAAGATCTTAGAAGATGGAAAAATATACCCTGTTCATGGATAGGCAGAACTAACATCATCAAAATGGCAATATTACCAAAAGTTCTCTATAGGTTTAATGCAATGCCAATCAAAATCCCAACGGTATTTCTTGTAGAAATAGAGAAAGCAATCATGAAATTCATATGGAAAAATAAAAGACCCAGAATAGCAAAAGCAATGCTAAGCAGGAAGTGTGAATCAGGTGGTATAGCGATACCAGACTTCAAACTATACTACAGAGCAATAGTCACAAAAACAGCATGGTACTGGTACCAAAACAGGCGGGTGGACCAATGGTACAGAATAGAGGACACAGAAACCGATCCACAAAACTACAACTATCTTATATTTGATAAAGGGGCTAAAAGCATGCAATGGAGGAAGGATAGCATCTTCAACAAATGGTGCTGGGAAAACTGGAAATCCATATGCAATAATCTCAATTTTTAATGTGAAAAAAAAATGAGTCTGTGCTTCAAAATCTGTAAGGTAAAAACAAAACACAAGCAAACTGACTTGAAAGTCAACTCAGGAAGCATGTTTGATTCTTGGAGGTTCATGAAGGTGATGAAACCGAGGATCAGAAGCAGCTTCTGGGAGGGAGACCAGAAAGGGAGACTGAGGAACAGGTGCCTGTCGGGTTTCTGTTCTCGCGACTAAAAGGCTCAGGGGTCACTCTAGTGAAACTGGGCTAACTGGGCTGCACGAAATAACCACACAAGAGACACAAATACCTTTGTCTTTGGGGTTGTTGTGACGGCTCCTCTGACCTTAAGGGTCCACAGAAAGAGAGAGAACGAGAGTACGCGCTGACCCCTTTTATTGAGGAGAAGCTATTCAAATGAGGCAAGGGGTCAGGTTTCAGGGGCTGAGTCTATCTTCATGATGTCCACTGTCAGCAGGTTGACTGACACCTGGGTAGGCCACACCCAAGGGCACAGTAAGAGGAGGGGACACACACAAGGCACTTCCATGGAAGATTCTATCCTAAACAGGGCAAGGGGTTATATTACAAAGGAACAGGGTGAGCATAGCTTCACCCATGGGGCTGTAGCAAGACACACCCATTTCTGTGACTGAGCGCCTCAGCACTCAGCTGGGGAGTGTAACTCAGTCACCCATAAGGTTGGCCTCCCACAGGTGCCATGTGATCACATATGTGCACTGGACTTGGGACATTTTTTCAGCTCTTTCTTGAAAATTGTTACTTTCTAGGCTGGCTAGATCTCATTCTGGAAAATCGGAAATCCCAACAGCATGCCAACTTTCTTAAAGTTAAATATAATATCAATGACTTTTTTGTACTCAAGTATTTGTTTCCATCTTCTAAAGTGGCAAAAACTAAAATATAAAATGCTGTCAGATCTGAATATATTTAAATTGCATGCAACTTTCTGAGCAAAACTAATAATAAATAGTATAATCTTTTAAAAAATTTCCAAGCTGTTATGGGTATATCCACCTCAACTCTTCATATTTTTTTCCCCTATAAACATCTGCTTAGTTTCTTTTTTTCCCAGAACTTCAGAATTTCTAGAAATTTAAGGCTTTTATTTATAATACAGAGTTTTTCTGCTCATAGATACTATAGATGTCTCTAAGTCTTAGATTTCCCATGTGCAAATGAGTAGCTTAGCACTTTAGCCTTACTTTGAAGTACTTTGCAGACAGTTTGTAGTAAAATGTCAAATCTTTCTACTATAGCCCTGGTTAAGGACCAGTTAAGAAGTGGGAGAGTACCAGATGCTGTGTTACTCATGTTTGGCTCTTGGCTTTGTCATTAATCAGCTTTCTAACATCAGGAAAGTGTTTCCTGTCAAATCTTAATTTATCATTCTCTGCAAAATAGGGTTGGTAAGAAACTATAATTCCTTCCCTTCATTAAAATATGATGAGCTTCATTTGTTAGAAATTTTGTCACTAAAGGTAAAGATGAAATGTGGAAAAAATGAGATGAAAACACAAAAGAGATGGAAGAAATAGATAAAAATATGTTAATAATTGCTACCAGAATAAATGGATTCTTTAAAACGATGAAGATTGTTAGACTGGATTAAAAAAAACACTCAGAAATAAAGGAAAGCAAAAACAACAAAATCCAGAGATGTGCTTCCTAACTAGATATGTTTAAAACAGAAGGAAACAAAGTTTGAAAGTAAAAGGTGGGAAAAGATATTCTAGGCAAATACAAACTCCTACATCCCCTAATAAAATACTGGTACAGCTTTCTTCATAGCTGGCAAATGGCATTACTAGTGACAAAGAGGTTCATTGTTTAATAATGAAGAGTTTGGGAAGATATCACAAGTGTAAATTTGTTTACTTTAAAATATATAAAGAAAAAGCAGAACCATAATAAAAATAAGTCAATGATTATAGGGAGAGGTTTTAATATAACTCCTTCAATAATCGATATTCTGTGGAGGAAAAAAACCCACTGAAGAACAATACAACTAATAAGCTTCATATAAAGAAACAAATACACATATAAATCAATGTATGCACAAAATACATATATATATATGTGTATATATATGTGTGTGTTTATATATACATACACACATATATAGGTGTGTGTGTGTTTATATATACATACACACATATATAGGTGTGTGTGAGTGTGTGTGTATGTGTATATATATATATATATATAGTTTTATATATATATATATGTATATATACACTATATATATATACACTATATGTAAAACAAAGAATCTATACATATATAAAAGTTTTTGCATTCAACACT